GCATTTCTGCTGCTGGGCTTATGTAACAGTGAAATACCAGTGTCACATATCAGACTGGGCTTTGCTCCCAAATCCAAATAAGGATTTCTCACTTAGGGGGTTTCCTTTGTGAATTGCTTGGCCAGCTGCTGCTTACTGCCTCCAGGACTTTTCAGCCACAGTCCCAAATGGTATTTTCTCATGTTCTGCTTGTGGGTTTCCCAAGGGCAGCTGGTTGGCCACTACATGAACTGAATGCTGGGCTAGATGGACTCCTACTCTGTTCTGGCATGGCTCTTCTTAAGTTCTTCATGTCTTCCTTTGAAATGCCCTCTCTGCTTTCAGTCTGCAAGAACAATTGCCAAATGGGCCCTGAGCTAGTTGTTCCTGCCACTGTTCTGAACACCCCCTGTTCTGGGTCCCTCCTTCCTCAGAAACTATGATATTTGTGGGGGTTTTTAAGCTGCAGGACTTCAGGTAGCTGCCTCTGCCCTTTCCAAAGAGGATTCTCAAAAGATTTGTGGGTGTTCCCCCAGTATACAGTCACACTGTATTATTTGAATTTAAAGCATATAGCATCATTTTTGGCCTCCTGATAATTGCCTTTGCTTTTCCTTTCCTCTCAGCTCATTTTTCTTCTGGAGTCCTTTTTAATTTTCTTCACAATTGGTGTTTTTTGTGTATGTGTGAAATTTTCTATTTCAGTATGAATTGGGGCTGAACTCCAGCCTAGCATGTGGGAAGTAGCATAATCTACAAAGAACACATGTGCTTGCAGAAATTAGACCTTGGCTATATTAACATCTGGAAAAATATATTGTATTTTATCTGAAACATTTCTCATCTGTACTTGAGTAGTTTGAGATGACTAGGCCATCTGGTCATTCACAGTATATTGATTCGAGCAATTCTAATGTAGTGTGATTCACAAACAATTGTGCCCATGTTATATGACTTCCTAGTAAATGTTAAGGATACCTAGCTGCTAAAGGATAATATGGTGCCTGTCTCTTCAGAATGAATATGTCGGGTATTCTCATGACAGCTGCTAGAAAACGCTAGATCATTTGAGCAAAGAGTCCACCCTAAATAATCGAGTGACCACATCTGTTTTGATTACTGGTTGCCTAGCTACCTGCATTGTAACTCTGATACGAGAATATACAATCTCAGAAATAGTTGAAATGTCGCTGGGCTTCTGTGTCAAAGCAAACGGCTTGTGACTATATACGAACATGGAAGGAGAGTCGGGAAAATGCAGTGTGATTTAGTCCAAAATATCAACCACCCAACAATTTGGGAGGAAAATTTGCTGCTGTCTTTCCAAAAGCAAAAGCTTTGCACCATTATTTGCTTTATCCAGGTTTAAGCACGTTATGTTCTCTTCAGTATGTGACATTCTTCTTGCCATACTAATCAAAGGTGAAGGGTTATATGCTCATTGGTGGACTGTATGCTATGCATGGGAAAGACCCCAGCTTCAGTCCCTGCCATCTCCAAAGAGCTTCTGCTATTCAGTAACAAAGAAATATAACTAACAACAAAAGGTAATGCTGGGGAAAGTGCCCGATTGAAACCCTGAAGAACTACTGTCTGTCAGCAGGGGCATGACTGAGCTAGGAGGAGAAATGATCTGACCTGCTATGAGGCATATGAAAACGCTGTGCTGACTCCAGATGATGTCTATTCTTTTGAAACTAATGCTTTCAATACCTTTGACCATGGTATCCTTCTGGCTAGGCTAGCTGGGTTGATCCTTGGAGGCACCACACTGCAATGATTCCACACCTATTTAGATGGCCAGTTAGAGAAGAAGGTGCTGGGGGGGATTATTTATTTATTATTTCAATTTATATGGCTCTACATTAGCCCGCACTTGAGTTCTCTTTGCGGCTTACATACAATTAAAACCATATGTTTTAGATTTTTCAAATCTAAAGCACTAGAGCAATAACAAAACATCCAAAAGTACAATGAAACATAATTCATTAAATTATGAAATTAAAATTTATAGGAAATTAAAACTGTTATATAAACACTTTGAAATAAATAATTTAAAATTATAATTAAACTAGAATAGAGTCAGGTTAAAATAGAAGTTGCCACTAAAATCAACAATTAAAATATCTGAAGAAAAGATATGTCTTTGCCTGGCACCAAAATAATATACCCTTCATAGTTACTAGAGCCTCATGGCTCTAGTTTATCTCCTGTGCTGTTCAACATCAGCATGAGCCATTGGCAGAGGTATGAGATATGGACAGAGGCTGATGTTGCACCAGTTGTATCTATTCCTTCTCATCAAATCCAGCTGAAGCAATGAGTGCTCTGGGTCAGTACTTGGGTGTGGTCATGAACTGGATGAGGGCCAGTAACTTGAATCAATCCAGACAAAAGAGAGGTACTGACAACCAAGGCAGATGAAGCACCCATTAAGTGATGCTTAAACCTGTTCTGGAGGGGGTTGCATCCACCCCAAGGGTCAGGTTTGTAGCTTGAAGGGGCCCTTGTGCCTAGTGCCACAGGTGGAATTGGTGGCACGGAGCACCTTTGGCTTAGACTCATATGCCAACTACATATGACAGTTATCCATGCTCTGATAACCTCCTGTCTGCATTCCTGGAATGCATTATATGGCAGCTGCCCTTGAAAATGGACCAGAAACTTCAGCTGCTCCAAAACAGGGCAATGAGACTGTTACCAGGGTCTAGATAACATGGTTATATTATACTAATTTTACCATCTGCACTGGCTGTCAGTCCATGTCTATGCCTGATTTATGGTGCAAGTATCCAGCGCCTAGCTGGCTTAGAGGAAGGATCGTCTTCTCCCTTGAACAGATCCTCACATCCTTCAGCATTCCTTCTCCACACACCCCCAACAAAGGAAGTGAGGTGGGTGGCCTTTCCTGCCATGTTGACTCCAATTATGGAAAGAGTTTCCTAAAGAGGCTCACCTGGTGCCCACATTGTAAACCATTCAGCACCGGGTGAAAGCTCTTTGATTTTCTCAGGCATTTAGTTTTTTGGTTTGTGTTTTAAATCTGGTACTACTAACCAAGGAACCATGTGATCAACTGACCAATAAGTTAGGACAAAAGACTGTGTGCCATGGAAACAGTGTGGGGCTGTTTGCCTTGATGTGTGAAACTGGCTACTGTGACTCATACAATGCTAATGAAGTAATTAGAGCTAGGAATTGCAACAGGGATGGATGCAACTCCTTGTCACAATCTAATAGTCTCGCTTGTTCTTTATTCCTATTATAAACATAATGTAAAACTGTGAACCTGTGATGTTTCATGTAAGCACATTTAAAGATCATCCACAGGTCTAAAAACATATTGTTCCCATACACAGGACAGCAAGGCCTAGCCTTTTATTCTGTTTTGACAATAATGCTTCACAATGACTTTCAGAAGGTAAAGCTGATGGATCTTGTGGTCTGTTCCACATGCACAGTTGGACATTTGGAGGGGTTATTTTGGCCTGTAATGAGGTGAACTAGCAAAGAGCTGTATTCAGATCTGTAGACATGTAATGGGAAGAATTGTGGACTTAATGCTTGTGTTTCTTAATAGATATAAGGATGCAACGGATTGTATCAAGGGATGTGCATTAAAAGTAAACAAAAGTGCAGTGACAATCACTAGCAAGTATACTGAGCTTCTGGCTTGTCTAGAGTATCGCCATTGAAATTAATGAAACTTCTGGTCTCAGCCTAACATATTTCAGGGTTGCTTTCAGGATTACAGTGTCAATGTTTTCAAAGGAGAACTCTGAACCCATGATAAGTGGGGCAAAGGGAAGTTTACATAATTCTTTCAATGCAGGTATATGGGTAACATAATCCTCTATTATTTGCATATGGAACCAGAGATGAGTCATTTTTCCAGAATAACTATTACAGAGTATGAGAATGTTATCTTGTTTATTGAATTGGAAAAGAAAGTAATAGATAGCAAATTAATTTTAAACTAAGTAGCACTATGAATCTGGTGACACTGCAAAAGGAATGTGAAGCCTCCAAATACCAGATTTACTTTTCTCTCTTTAAAACACCAGACTTGAGTCCCTGGCTGCTCTGACATGTGCCAAGAGATGGGTAGCTGCCGTAGGAAAGGGGAGGCAGTCCTGGCTGTGCTCACATAGCTCCCCTCCAGTGTCCTTTCCTTTGGCCAATCAGGAGTAATGGGCTGAAGAGGAAGGAGCCAGGAGCAAGCCGAGAGAGGCATGGCCTTGTAAGTGGTCGCACCTGTGCTGGGTGACCATGGGGGGGGGGGGCAATTACAAGGGTAATACTGTGGGAGGAGAAATGAACAGAGCACCTGTTGTGCATGCAGGAGGCCTTGGTATGAGCTCATAGCCAGCAATAAAGTCTGGGAAAAACAGCTAACTATAACACCCGGTGGGCTCAGTTTAGGGAACAGATGCCACCCAAGAAGGGTAGCAAGAGTGCAACACAACATCCAATGACTTCTCTGTGTGCTTGGGAGCAGAATGGCCAGCCTAGAAGATCCTGGGCAGAATCACCTGTAAGGAGATAGGTAGCAAGCAAGAAGGCAGCTGGGCCAGGTGTGACCTTGGGGAGCACCCACTAGGAAGACAAAAACCCTGAAGCAGTAACACACTGTGCTGAAGGGCATTTCAGGCACCCTTGCATTGTTGGCAGAGGGCATGGAGCACTTAAGGTCTCAGGCCCAACAGTGTGCACAAACTGGACGTCTGGCCAGGTTTGTCAGCATTCCCAGAGTGGGGCTTGCCAACCTGAACATGGTGTTATGGGCCTGATCCCTGGCAGGTAGCAGCACTAGCATAGAATATGATGCGGCATTCAGGAAGAGAGCCTCCCATGGTGGAATCTCTTGGATTATGAGATATAGCTGGTCATCATGGACCTGCACATTAAAAAAGGACCAGAGGTCCCCAAAATGATTAAAGGCATGGCCAGAAGAAAGGCTGATCATGGAGTGTGCAGGGAATATTGTAGTGCTGAGGAACACCACTGATAATAGTAGTAAGGAGAAGACAAGGTTAGATTAAACCAGGGCTTTTTTTGTCATAGAATGGACCGGAACAGCGTTCCGGCGCCTTTTTCCAACGGATTTTTCCACGTGATTTTGAATCACCCTGTCGGGCGTCGCAGGTCGGTGGCAAAATCATTAAAATAGTGCGTGTGGGCTGCTTGTGTGTCCACGCTGGTTGTGATGGCCCAGCTCGGCTTTTGATGCTGCTCAGCTTGTGATTGGTCGTGTGGTCACACGCTGTGCTTACTGCCGGTGGCGACCATTATGTTTCATTACACAGTCTTGGTGTGTGTAGAGTGACTGGCTACGTGTAAAAGGTAAATAATTTCTTTATTTTAAAAAAAGCTGGTGAATTGAAAATCTTTTTTTAATTTTTAGTGTAAAAGTGTGACCCCAAATTTAAAAATGAAAAGAAAAAAACTAATTACTTCTCAAGCACCAGTCCTCCTAATAAAAGATTACCCTAAAAAAAACCCTAAATAAAAGATTAACAAGATGTGAGTTCTGGCACCTTTTTTTTTTTTTAACAAACAAAGCACTGGATTAAACTGCAGTAAATAATGGCAGAAATTCAGTTGAAGTAAGTGATTATATTTGAGTGAAATGTTGTGTTTGTAGAATTTAGAGATATTCTAAAGCAAGTGCTAGCAAGCACTAAAGTAAAAGATCTTGCATGTACAGAATAATAGGAAAACTGCACATCATGAAGTTTCCTTTCATCCTGCCATTATCTGAGAGATAAAAGAGAGAGAATGAATCTACTTTGGTTTCCAGGGATATAACTATCAATTTATTAATGCCGGATTTTTTCCTGGTTGCCTGTAGTCCCACAGCTCTCTAAATTTTTCTGGGTCTCTCTCTTTACAGTTTTTCTTAATACATATTGGCAGCTATTTGGGTCATGTTGATCTATGCAAATAAATATACAGTGAATATATATTATTTCTACTTCCAAAAAGGAAAGAAGCATAACACCAGCAAATTATTGTGCTTAGAGAGTGTCTTCTATTTGCATTTCCTGTTATCTTCTGGAAACTGCAAAGGAATTTAAATAGTGTGATGATCAGTGGAAGAGAAAAACCCACAAATGTAAATGCTTGGGTTTACCTGCACCAATGTTCACACAGTTGCCCACGGAAAGGTTCAGAAGTACTTAACATATGTAATAGCTGTGTTTAGCAATTGCAGACTTTATACCTGATTTTCTTAGCATGAAAGTACATTTGAGGAAACAGGCATTATAACCATATAATTAGCTAACTGTCAGTAACAGGAGAAAACAATCTGCTACAAATACTTTACAGTACAAGTAACACCCTCCCCCACCCCATCCAAACTGGTAGCTCTAAAGGACTCCACAATGTTTTAAACTCTGTTAACAGAGAATTGCTGTGAGTACGTGAAAAGTATGTTAAAAAAACCCCAAAACTTTTCTTGCAAATACCTATTAGGATAGCATGTATTGTATGATTTGCCCCCCGTTTTTCCAACAGCTATGCAAGAAGAGCACTCATCTCTGAAGAACATAATTGTTCTTTCATTTTCCTGAAAGCCTGACTAGCAAAATGATTTGTGAAAGGGCTACTACCCCAAGAGGGTTTCGTTGAAGAGCAAGATTGGAATTCTCAGTGCTAAAATGGCTTGTTAAAGCATTGCCAAATAACCATCACAAAAAAGAGAACTTGCATCACTAGAAGAGGGCATATATTTGCATGTGCCAATTTATACTAAATGTTATGGAAAGAATCATTATAGTTTGGATAGAAATATAGTGTAGATCACCATCGTGGCAAAGACTGTGTTTCCCAGACCACTGTCAGAGCACCAAAGTAATTAAACACATGCCCACAGGACTAGTTTGCACAGTCACGGTGGCCTGCACTTTGATCGCAAGCTTCTCCCAGGGGAGCTTTCCATTTCAAACCTCTGAAAGTGCAAACCTCTGTGCTGCTACAAGTCAGGCTAAGAAACTAATAAAACAGTAGCATGAATATTTTCACTTAGAAAACAAAACAAAGCAGCTTCCGTAAACAACTACCGTGAGATACTGGCACGAAATCCAAGCAGGAAAGTGGGGGGGGGGGCACCCACAGTGAAGTTCATCATTGGTTAATCTCAGGGTGGGTTCGCATGACATGCGAACCCAAAGATTCATGGTTAAAATGGACATTTTCCAAAGTTGGTGATTTATAAAATATAAATATTGATGTTTTATATTATTAGAATTTCATATGTATGTGAACATTTTACACCAGTACACTATTGTAAGCTGACCCAAGACGTTTGTTGGGCATGGGATAGAAAAGCTTTTAATAAATAAATAGTACAGAAATTATATATAATTAGGACACACTATTTGTTTATTTATTATTATTATTTAGCATTTGTATCCCTTTCTTCTTGAGGGTCTGTTCCATTTAGCACACACTCAGGGATTCTGACATAGGACATGCAACCCAGTTAGATTAAATAGTATGGCAGATCTTATGGTAAAGGCTTAATGGTTGCACTCTTCAGAAACAGTTTAGCTCAAGGATATTGATGGGCCCATGGCTCAGTTCAAGGTACAACCAAAGCTCCTCCTTGCCTGGATTCCCAGCTTCTTCTTATTCCTTCAGGCATTATTCTGCCCTTGTACTTATTTCTTCTACCTGTATGGTACCCAGCATTGCCTACCCTTCCTTCAAGCATCCCTCTTTATTTTCTACAACCTTCCTTCAGTCCTTCATTACATACTGGAACCTTGTCCCAGTCCTCCATCTACCCCAGGTTAAGTTTCAATCCCAGCCATAGTAACAGCATTCCATCCCTTTACAGAATCTAGACTGCAGCTGAACTTTTCCCTCCACACCAACTAAACACTACAAATTCAGTGCCTGCTCAATCCTGTTACGAGCCCAAAGTACTTGACCATTTTAAATATAGTTTGCTCTAAGCCAGGGTCTCAAACTTAACTTATCTGGGGGCCGCTGGAAGTAGAGTCTGGGTGAGGCTGGGCTGCATCGAGTATTCCACCGCCGCGGTGGTGGTGGGCCGCTGACCCCATGGCCGGCCCGGGCGCCGCCGGCGCTTTGAAGGCCGCAGGACCCCGCCCGTCCCGGCAATTGGCCTGTGGGCCACGAGTTTGAGACCCCTGCTCTAAGCTATAGCTAGCATTTATAAAAAGCCTTGGAAGTAAACTAAACTGTCACATTTTTATTCTTAGTACACATGCTATTTGTTGTTCATGTGTTTTTTGAGATAAGGTGATGACTTATTTTCTGTCATAGCAACAGATGTTTGACATAAGTGAATTTATAGCAGTATATTACATAAAATAATGTCCTTAGTAACACTAAATAGCTTAGTCCAGAAAAGTCTTATTGTCTTAGGCTCATGTTTATTTATTTATTTAGTAAACTTATATGCCGCCCCATTTGTCAAAGCCTCGGGGTGGCTTACAAACATAAATAAATATCACCAATACAATTAAATATAAAATTGGAGACATCCTGGCCAAAGTTATTAAAATCAATAAACAATATCACAATTAAAATGACGTTTAAATAAAAAGGTCTTGGCCTGGTGCCGAAAAGCAAATAACAATGGTGTCAGGCGGACTTCTCTGAGGAGCGCATTCCATAGGTTGGGCGCCACCGCAGAGAACGCCCTCCTCCGGGTACTTACCCTCCTGATGTCCTTCATGGAGGGCTCCCAGAGAAGGGCCTCTGCCGCCAATCTCAAGGGGCGGGAGGGCACATATGGACATAAGCGCTCCTTTAGGTAACCAGGTCCCAAGCTGTTAAGGGATTTATAGGTAATAACCAACACCTTGAATTGGGCCTGGACTTCAATGGGGAGCCAGTGAAGCTGACGGAGGACTGGAGTCATGTGAGCACAATGCCCAGTCTCCATCAGCAACCTGGCAGCTCTATTTTGTACCATTTGAAGTATCCGGACCATCTTCAAGGGTAGCCCCACGTAGAGTGCGTTACAGAAGTCTAGTCGGGAAGTTACCAATGCATATGTCACTGTCGCCAGGCAGTCATTCTCCAGGTAGGGACACAGCTCGTGAATCAGCTGAAGCTGAAAGAAAGTGCTCCTCGCCACCGCTGTTACCTGAGCTTCAAGCGAAAGCTCTGGATCGAGGAGCACTCCCAAGCTGCGGACCTTGTCCTTAAGAGGGAGTGTAACCCCATTCAGGACAAGGCCAAGGTCCCCTTCCCCAAAGCCTGACTTGCCTACCAACAAGACCTCCATCTTGTCTGGATTGAGCTTCAGCTTACTTCATGTTGAAGTAAAATATCAGATGAGACCTTGATGTTGCTTTGCCAGCAAAAAGAATAAAGTTAAATTTTAAAAGGTGGCAAGAGATGGGGATAGAAATCTATTGAATCCACTTCTGGAGTCAAAGCAACCTTTCATAACCAACAGGACTTAATGCAGAATATACCAAACATTAAATAGTTCAATTAATTTTTGTTTATTATCTTTCTTTTGTTCTTTTTTGTTTCAAAACACATAATTAAGTCACAGATAAAGCTCTACGTGTGTGTGTGCACACATGCACCAACCTCCTCACACAAATATTTAAAATCTGTTTTATTTATTAACTGAGAACTCCTTGGAACTTTCTGGAAATGAGAAGGAACCCAACCAATAAATGCAATTATATTAAGTCCCTGCCAGTCAATTGGAAAGGCAAGGAACCATTCACTAAAATTCTACCTCAAATTTGACAAGCAAACAGACCTCCCATATTATAATTGTTCAATTAAGATGACACGTGGATATTACTACCTGACTTGTCTATACCAAGGGAACTCCTGGCTGCTGCAACAATGAACTGTTTTTTACTTTAGAAAAAAATCTTCTGTGACATGTTACAAGCCACTTTTGAAAGATTTTCTTCATTATGTGAATGAAATTCTCATTTGGTGCATGTGTTCCCAAGGAATTTGAAGGCTCTGGGATATTTTGCTGAGAGAAGGCATGGAAATGGCAGATTATACAGGGTGCATTGCCATGGCTTCCCAACATTGTCAAGGGAGTGGGGTGTAAGATTATTAGAGTCCCAGCTCTGAGGTTCTTTGACCAGAGGGCTGGAAGCTTGAGCCCTGCCTGCCTTGCCACCAGCAGAGGAAAAAATGCATCAACTCCCTCTCTGGGGTGGAAAGCTGCCTCTGAGAGGGCTAAAAGGGCATGCTGGGGAGGCAGAGAGGAGTGGAGGCTGGGACCAAGGGCTTGTGCTTCATTCAAATAGTGGCCCAGCATCCTTCTGTCCCCCTCTGTGGCACGTTAATTAGATAGCCAAAAAAGGCCATGCAGATTAACTGCACACATGGGGTGTGGGCAGTGGGGACACCTCTGCTGCTGTGCTTCACACCCTGCATTGGATGCACAAACACCTCCAGGGGCCCGGAAATATTCCTGCCTGGCTTGAAATCCTGGAGAGCAGCAGCCAAGCCAGTATTAACAATCTTGCTGGGCTAGATGAACCTGTGATTTGATGCAGTATCAGGTGGGGATTATTTTTGTTCCTCCATCCAGCATTATTTTTGCACTGAGCATGGGAGACACTGGATCATGCCCACAGTGTGCTAGTCTTAGGCAAAGCTGAAGAATGAGCAGTACACATTTTATTTCCCTTCAGCTTTGTTTTTCCTTTACAGAAGGGAAGAATGATTGATTAGTATGCCAGCCAGCTAGTATGGGATGAACAGACTATTTTCAATATTAAGACAGAGCAAGAGAAGAAGGACGTGGGGAGTTATGCTCTGTAAAATAAGAAGCAGGTAGAGTGCTAGAGAAATGGTGGGGAATAATTCATAGAAATTTGGGAAGCTACCTTATGCTGCATCAGAGCATGCATCCTTAACGCTCAGTATTGTTAACACTGACTTGGTAACTACTCTCCATGATTTCCGGCAGGAATATTTCCCAGTCGGAGCTCTAGAGGATTAAACTTGGGACCATTTGCATGCAAAGCAGGTGCACTAATGGAGAAGCACAGCCCCTCCAAAACTGAGGTCTTAGAGGCACATGAGTGAACATGTGAGAAGGAGAATGGGTAAATTGGAGCAATATCAGGAGAAAGAGGCAGACATTTTTGTTCCATGTGCATCATCATTACTTCGAAACGGGGGGCACAGGCTACCTGGGTACTGATCAGCCTTTGGACATCTGATGTCCAAGCTCAACATGGGCAGGTTGAGTTCTTCAGTCCTGTGCAGGTATAACTGGTATATTTAAGGTATGAGGACCCTCAAATGTGGGGGCCAAATCTGGCCCTCTGGATTCCCAAGGTGACCATTCCTTCTTCCCTAGCTTGATCCCCTTTTCATTCATTGGCTTCCTGACTTCTATATTTCCCCCCTGTTCTGAAAGACTGAAGAGTCTCTTCTCAGGCTCAGTTAATGGCAGTAAGAGCTTTCAGCTACAATGTGCTAACTTGTGTTCTTGCTGCTGCTGTATTTTAGTCCCTGCCCCACTTGCCTGTGGAGTGTAGACCCTTCTCTAAAGCTAAATGGGGACTTTGGACTGAAGGAGGTCCTTCACCCCTGATACAGGTATCATGGAGAGGCAAACAGCTGCTTAAGCAGTGGAATCCAAGTAGTGAAACAGAATGCACTTTGGAATAGAATTTGGAATGTGTAAAGCGAGAAGAGAAGAGAAGAGAAGAGAAGAGAAGCCTATGCTTCCAGGTGAGGTCTTTATTATACTATCATCTTGCCTCATTCACAGAATTTTAGCAAGGAGGTGTGAGTTCCATATATCATCACCTTTCGGTCATAACCTTTCCATGTTTTCTTCTGCTTCTTCCATCTTTTTTTAAACAAGAGAAAATCTGTGAAGGAGAAAAGGTGGAACAGTTGCACAAAGCCTTCTGATTGGTGGTAGTAGGAGCCACCTGCTTAAAACGCCAGCACAGTACCTTTTCTTAGCTTGGCCACAGAATGTGAAAAGCCACTGAGCTTAGAGCCCTCAGCCTTCATAGCCTTGTCACCCCCTGCAAGGTATGTTTAGCTCATTGGTCCAAGAGGGCAGATTACCAAGATCTGCAACCCCACGAATGTGGCTATGCACACGCAGGGGATGTCCACTCAGGCCCCTCTTATGCTAACCAACAGGCTCCCATTGTGGCCTGTTCAGTGTGACCCCACTGAAATGGATGCAGCCAGAATGCAGCAATGGGTGCTTTGCAGAGTACGGAGATCTGAGTATATAAGGCAGCAAGACGGCACAAGCTAAAGAGAGAAGCTGGCAAGGTAAGTTTGGCTCCAGAGGAGGGGAAAAGCTGGAAGTGGGTAAGGAGTCTTAAGTAGTGTGCCATTCAGATGCTAGTTGCTCAGTTGTTGCTTCTTCATGTGGCTTTTCCCAGAACTGAAGACATACTAGGCAAGGTGCTAACATGATGCTTTCAAATGTAAAATACAGATACACAGTGCCTCATGGCTCAACTTCTCAGCAACACTGCCATATTTCACTTTTGTGTTTTAGCTAATAAGGCACCTGTGTGATTTGCTTAAGTCTTTAGGCAGATCTAGGTAGCTGCAGGGCTGCATCTGTTAAAAAATGGGGCAATCAGCAATTCTTGGCTTCTTTGTCTCAAAAGTGGAATTTGAAACCTGCACAGCATCTACTGGAGCCTGGTCCAGTAATGATTGTAGTCATCCTTGTAAACACACTTTTGCTGTTTTGTATGTGAAGAACCAAGCCCTCCTATAGAAGTGATTGTTTAAAGAAATATTATATATTCAATTGTAAAAAGATCTTTTACTGTACTGCATGGAGCTCTATTTTTCTCAAAGTTATCCTAGTTATTGAACGTAACCTGTCTCATCCAGTTCCTGGGTCATCAACAGATACACAACATGTCTTAAAGAGACACTGCACTATTCCTACAACACTTACTTGGACACTCGTCCTATTCTGACGAGGACATCCTTCTGATGAGACATAAATAGGACAGCTCTGTTAAGGTTGCTGTCTACTCCTACTGTGACAATGCAGACTTTGTATTTTCAACATCAAGTCCGTTCTTATTTCCTCTTCCCTCTTTGACTAACATCCAGCCTGAGATAGAACTTGTAGAATTCAAAAACTTGCTCAACATTTTGTGACATTTTGGCTGAGTCCCAATACTTAAAGTCCCATGTTATGGATTTTGGCTGGCTTATGCAGAAGTGCCACTAAATTGGATGGGAGTTGCTCTTCAGTAGGTAGGCTTAGGAGAGTCGGTAGGCATACCACATTGCAGCTGTCAGTCTGCTGTGGAAGTGCATTCATGCTATACCCAACATATGCACAGCCTTCTTTTGAACATGGCATTCACAAGGGACCTGTTTGGCTGGTCCTTATGTCAATTATGAAGCAGCTTCCAACACCCTTCCTGGAGCCGAACAGAGCACAGTGCTGGTTGGCTGCCCCTTGCTTGAGTCACAAAGCAGCTCCTCTCCACCCAAGGCTGGCTCACATGATCACAGCGACTGAAATAAGTCATGTGGTTGCCACCACATAAACCTGTAGATGCTGGCCAGATTTCCCTAAATACCCACACTGGGGCAACTTGTCATGTCATTCAAAGCCAAGTGGCATGGATTGTTTGGAGTCAGCAGCAACTCTTAAATAACTTATGCGTTGTGGTTGAGTTATTTCTACTAGTTCCCCTTTACTCAGCACTGGTTAGGCCTCATCTGGAGTACTGTGTCTGGTCTTGGGCACCACAGTTTAAGAAAGATGCAGACAAGCTGGAAAGGGTTCAGAGGAGGGCAACAAAGATGATCCAGGGACTGGAAAAAAAGCCCTGTGAGGAGAGTTTGAAAGAACAGGGCATGTTTAGCCTCAAAAAGAGAAGACGTAAGGGAGATATAATAGCACTGTACAAGTACTTGAAAGGCTGTCACAAAGAGGAAGGACAGGATCTCTTCTCAGTCATCCAGGAATGCAGGACATGGAATAATGGGTTCAAGTTATAGGAAGCCAGATTCTGGTTGGATATCAGGAAAAATGTCTCGACTGTTAGAGCAGTATGGCAATGTAAGCAATTATCTAGGGAGGTTGTGAGCTCTACAGGCATTCAAGATGCAACTGGATAGCCATCTGAGAGGGATGGTTTGACTTGGTGTCCTGCAGGGAGCAGGGAGTTGGATCCAATGGCCCTTTGGCCCCTTCCAACTCTACTGTTCTATGATTCTGTATAGTTGGCTGCCTATGCCAAACAAGTTATGCTGCCTGAGTTCAGATGACACAAGCAGGCCACACTGATGTGTGTAATTAAGGAAATCTAGCCGGCAGATTCATTCTGCCTAGCCCTAAGATGTAGGCTATAATACACAAGAATCTTGTGCAAAACGTGAGGAACTTCTGTGTGAACTCTAGCAAAATGAGTTGATAGGATAAGTATAAGCTTTCCTACATGAAGCTGTTGTTTTGCTTTATCCACTTTAGGCTTTGCTGCAAAATTGAGAACTGAGCACTACACAAGTATTTCCTACCTTTCCAATACATAATATCTAGATGGCACTGTGGTATAGTCAGGTAGCACAAATACATAGGAGGAAACAACCTTTTCTTTCACTTTTAGAAATAAGATGCCATTATCCTGCTCTAAAAAGACTGGTCTTCAGGATAACCCATAAAAAACTGTGAGTAGGAAATTATGAGTGCAGTGTTTGATATAGAAAAGTTCTAGCATGCTGACTATGGCCAAGCTGAAGCAACCTAGCAGTGCTAAATCTTATCATCCAGATATAAAATGGTTAAAGTGATTTAGCACACAAAGCTGGCAATTTCTTAATTGTTAATAGATGCCTGTTTCGGAGATATACACTTCCCCTTGCAAAAAGAGATTTCATCAGGGCAGCATAGTTTCCATATGAAACAATGTGCCCCATTCAGATCTCCATTAAAGTTCAATTGTTTGTTTTCACAGACTTTCTCTGTTCAACCGAGCAAGGCTGTGGGGATGTTATTTAGAACAATTCCTCTTAAAACATACCCATTCTGCAAGAAAGCTAGCATGCAGCAAAAATCAGAATTTTTTAATTACTTGTTTCCTAAACATATTGGTATTTTCACTCATGAGATAAGGCAAAAGGACCTTTTCTCTCTTTGTCTCTGAATTCTGCAGTGCAGATTATAATATTCCCAAATCAGTGTCCCTGCCTGGAAGGAAAAGACCTGCAGTTGTTTATGCTAAACAAGTGGCAGGGTGGGGAAGCTGGTCCATTGGCCTGGGGGAGTGGCCATGTGCCTCTTCGCTGCCTGGTGCTTGTGGTGGATGTGTGGGTGGAGGGTGTGAGGACAGCTTCACACCCAGTACTTTTCACACACATCGCAGTCACAGGCAAGTGACCCAGCAGTGTTTTCTGATATCATAGCTGAATCAGCTTTAGCATAGAGCTAATGAGAATGACCTACTTCACAGAATTTTGCAAGAATTTCTGAGCTGATATGTATTAAAGCTTTTGCGCACACTCTAAAGCACTATATATAAATACATTATTATTTTACAGTGTTTTAAAGTGGGCTCATGATTCATATGTCTCCTGCTGCAATTCTTACAGCAACCCTGTAGAGTTTGCCAGGATTGTTATGGGAATTTATGCTATACTGTGTTATGTTACTCTCTAAGGTGGAGAATAGCCTATCTAAAGATCTCTGCAAAGTCCATGGCATAGGACTAGAACAGGAACTTTCTGTTGAATAGCTTACCCTTCCCTTATTGTATTGCTAAAATTTATATCCCTCTAGAGCATTCTCAAGATCTCCCACTCTTAGCTGCTTCATGCTCCAGCTCTCAACTGTTTAGCATTCCTCATTTAGGCTGTGAGCCACAGGCCTAGCACCATATGGTACGGTAGCAAGATCCATGCTATGATCTTCCCACAGAGCAAGCTATGCCTTCAGCAAAAATACATTTTGAACCATGCAATAAAATAGCATCTCAAACCCAGAATACTAATAGGACAAACTAGCCACTTATACATAGCTCCCAAAGCTGAGGTGTATCTTCAGAACAAAGACAAAGAAGACTCAGATTTGCAGATGCTAAATTACACATGGATACATTAAAAAGAATTACTATATAAATAGAAATGTATAGTCTGGGCACCAACTCACTCTGCTATCCAGGTGCTTATGGATGACTTCAGGATCTTTCCTTTTCCTTCTAATGGATCTTTGTATTAAAACCAAATTTCCAAAAAGTTTGCTGGCAATTGTGGGTTATTTTCATTTTGCATTTAAAACTGATGGCATAATTTTATCTCCTATGACAAGCTGCTTTGGCAAAGACAAAAAGTTACAAAGAGACTGAGCTATCTGCAGTTTTCAATTCTGGATGATATTAGCTTGCTTTATGGCTGGCAACAATAAAGAATGTTCAGAAAGAAAAGCCAGTGTGACTAAACTTCTACATTATCAGTGCCATGCTATTTGTTCAAAATAAATGTTAATCCTGTCTGAAGAAAAGAAAGCTATGTGCTTGCTTCAAGAAAGCAGATTTCGGTCCAATGGTGCTATTAGCCTGACATTTTCTCAGCATCCTTCAAAGCCACTAGCGCAGCCCCATACAGAAAAATCTTTAAAGGATGTGAGCATGGAACAGGAATATGGGGGTGGAGAAGGATGAAGGCAAAAAGAAAGTAATGCTAGAGAAAATGGAGTAGTTTTAAAACACTAGTTTTAAAGGGCAGATCTGACTCAGACAATTTTGTTTCTTTCAGGAAGAATGAGGAGAATTTTATTTAAATAAAAATGAAAACCTTAATCAATGAAGATGGTGCTGGAACACGCTGTTAAGAATTATCATGGTAGGGCAGTAGATTTACAGAAAGCAGCCAGTGTTGTCGTTTTCCTTCTATTAGTGCCCCAGCAGATGATGATGATGCATATTATGCTATTAATGATTAATCTTATGCTTATACCTTGGTTCCTCCCTCTAGTTTATCCTATATCATCCTCATTTTTTAAAGAAATATTTTTATCCTCATAGGTTAGACTGGCCCAAGCTAATCTACTGAAATTAACTGCTGAGTGGAGATTAGAATCTAGGTCTCTGCAGTCCTGATCTAGTGACAGCACTCTGGCTCTCAAATATGCCGAGTATGTATGCCAGTTCTGTTCTTCTCTGTTGGCTGGTGGCTTTTGGGTCAGTGCAGAATGCTTTTCTCTATGATCACATGCACTTCCAAAGGTGAGTGTCTCTGTGGGACTCCCATTTGCTCCTTGTTTCTTTTGATCTCTTTCAATTCTCAAGGTCTGACTACTGGTTATGTTGATTGTATAGGAATGATGGGCGTGCTTGTTTTTTTGTTTCCTGGAAAGAACTCAAATAGCTCCAGAGATGGGCAAGACTGGAACAACAGTGCCTAAGGGGAAGAAGATAACATATCTCTTTGCTGAAGCCCTAAGAAAAATCTCCCAGCTGTTATTAGCCTTGGGGAAGGAATGCCTCCCTTGGCCAAAGTGGCAAGAAAGTGGCTGAGAATGCAATTAGATGTAAACAAGCTGTGACCCACCCTGCCTAGGGTAGGGATGTGCCTGAAATCTCACTGAGGCCCATTGTTGGCTCTTCCCATGTGTTCAACTCTTTTCCTCTGTGCCATCTTCCTGATGAAAATCAATGTTTCTGGGCCAATGGGCACTGGTAATAGCCCAGTGGACTGAGACTTGATGAAGCTTTCAATTTTTGAACAGGTGGTCTTTAGGGGTGATCGTTGAATAGATAAATGAACATCCTGACTGCCTTTGTTGAAGTCTGTGCATCCCTAAGAATAGTAGCATATATTGCTATATGTGTATATATGTGCATGTATATAGGTACATCATATATATGCATTTGTAATAGATTCACCCAAATTCCTGTAAGAAAGCTGTAATGCTATATTTCATTATGTTACTTTTTTATTTCTGCTTATTATTTTGCTTTGGTTTAGTTTAGTTTTTGTGTTTTTGCAACCCACAATAACTCAGAGAGAGAGAGATTGCTCTTTCCCAAAAGCTGCTACCTACTCCTGAAAGGAAAACTTAGTGGCACTCATATGGCACATGTGTGACTTGCTCTGTGGGACAAATAGCAACTGAAAAATGGCACAGGAGAAAAGTTTACACCTTGCTTTGTCCAAACACTGTCTTGTTTGCTATGCTGGGCCAGGGGCGGGATAGGGGGTGGATGCTGTAGCAGTTATTAATACTTTAAAAATAGCAGGACATCTCATCAAGGAACTTCTCATGTCAAGTCTGAGTCTTGTTTAGGAAAATTGGAAGTGCTCTCTTACCAGGTCAGACTATTTATCCAACCAGGCCCAGACTGTCGCTGGTCTTCCCCCCCTTCTTCTGAGCACATAAGGACAAAGGCTTTCTAACTGAAAGTCTTTATTATGTTAGTCTTTATTAAGCTAGGCTGGCTTTGTAATACAAGCACAGACTATTACAGGAACAAAAGAAACAAGCAAAATTACTTTAATGTTATAAAATTGATTCCAAACTGAATACCTTTTGTCCCTTCCAAACTGAAAACAGCTCATTCCACCTTTAAAGGGGATTGTGCTGCTTAAGGGCCAATTGCTTGGAGCATCTGACATTCCTTAACTGGTCCATGCTCTAACTTTGATGTCATACGATTGGACTAATGTTGGGTCCATCCCCTACCATAGCAGCATGCTCAGTAAACTTTCCCACAGAATTTGAAACTGTCTGATTCTGAAAGACTGCCTGATTTATCTCTGGGTCTACTGGCCTTGCCAAGTCACC